CCCCACCCCCCACCTCTACACCCCTGGGCTACTGCCCCGTTGCAGCGAATTCAAGTGTAAAGAAGGCAGGAGGAGTGAAATTCTAGTTCACTTTGAAATGAATGACTCACCACCATGTGGCATTGAGTTGCATATCGGCTGATGAGTTTGAGCATTGGTGTGGCCTCAGCGTAGAAAAGAGACATCTTGCTGCAGCACTCATCACTCAACTCCTCAATCTCTTGCCTGAGTAGGGCGTCCTCGGCACTGTAAGCGACAGAGGAATTCTAGAAGGCAAACAAATTCAGAAGTGAAGTTAGAAGTGTTCTACCTACCAAAAAATACAGAAATGACTATAAGCAATTTTACTCTCCTGCTGTCAATGCTTTCAATATGTCAATGTCTACTGAGTTCAACCCATTCCTTGTTAATTGATAAAGACAAGGGCTCGCGAACCATGACACAAGTAGTACCAGCTGTAGATACTTCGACTAAGAATACCGAGAAATAAGATCCTGTTTCATGGCTGATCTTGACTATATGATAAACAAATCCATGGAGAGGTTTATTTTGACAAAATAATCTGGTTAATAAGATGTGAAAAAGAACACCAAATTCCGATGTATGACAATTATGAGTAGTTGAATATGAACCACCGAAGAACTCTCCGAATTCAAACCATAGCCATTATGCCAATATAGGACAACCTTCAGAAGAAAATCACCTAAATTTTTGCGAGAAAAAACCTAAGAAAAACACATTTCAGAACCTACTGAAACCCAGTTGGACTACTAAAAGGAGCATTAGACAGATATCAGACAGAGATAAAAGACAGGTCACGTAAAAGAAAGCGATGCATAGCAATTTGGATTTCAGTCCACTAATCAAGACCACTTATAGGGGAGTGATGTTCCCATTCTATAAGTTTGGTAATATGGGGAGTGCGAGAGACTTACCTCCAAGTGGTGCACCCTGTGCAACGTATACTATAAACCGTCAGTTGACTTCTGACTTCAAACTACAATGACCCCACTGTATGTCATATTCAATCCCTTCCACAGTACTCATCTTACCTTTTCTCTGTCATTGTGTCTGTCTGTCTCTTTTACATCTGTGGATCACACTCTTCTGTTCCCTCTCTCGACATTTTGTGACTTTGGCTGTTCCCCCCCCCCCCTTCTGTGAAGTCCGAATTCAACTAAAGAGCTATTGATCACCATCAAAACGCCTGCCATTTGAGATAAATAAATAAGTTCGGTAATATAAATTGAACATCAGTGTTAATATTTTGCGCAATGAAACCCTCTAAACAAATCGCCAAGATTAGCCAACATCTAAGCACAATAAGGCAACTAGTTATTCGAAGCTTCAAATCGAAGTAAGCGATGGTTTTGGCTATAACGCGTTAGATTATATATCAGTCAAAAGTGGTTGCCATAGCAACTGATGCAAAGGGAAATGAAAATCATTACTCGCGTCCACATCCAATGGCACTATGTAATTCGTTAACATTTTTTTGAGCGATTGTTGACAGCACATTGGGAACCGCTGGGACATTAATTTTTAGGAAATCGTAAACAAAACGGTGAGGCAATAAAGATGGAATTATAAAAAAAACAAGCACATAGACTGCACGAGGCTACAAATAGAGCAATGTTTTGAGAAATCGACTTAGAGGCACAGGGAGAGAGTGAACCTAGACGATAAAATAAAGATTGTATCCAACTAGGCTTTCTACCGACATTCACACTCAATGAACCAAGATACTTCAATCTATTCAAAGATCTCAAAAGTGATAGCAACAACCACACACATTCAGTTACCATTAGAAGAGAATTCTAAAGTTCTAGAAGATGCTATTATTGCAATCGACATTAGTCAAGTGAGAGGAATGAAGGAATTCGGCGTTTTCGTTTGCTCATTGATTATTCCATCAAACCGAAAATGTGAGGATGTCTCGTTGCCTTCACCCAATAATTGGTTGAGGTTAATGAATAATAACAAAAAAACCCCCTTCACACTAATAGATTCTAGTCAGGGAGTGCTGTCAGAACTATCCTTAAGAAATCGACGCAAAAAGGCCAAATATTAGATAGGTTTAAATGGAGGGGGGGGGGGGCGTTTTACCTTTCGAGAGAAATCCACACCAGGTCTTCGTCTTTGTCTCAGACGCCGATAGAAGCTGAAGTCATTTTGAATGGAAGGTTTGGTCATCTAAAAGATACACAGGCACACACACACACAAGTGAAAAATTTAAACAAGACACAAAAGAAAGGAGAAAAAAAATATACGTTGACTGCCATTTATCAAGAGACACGAAATGAACTACCTCTATCCAACTTCGCATGCCTCATTCTCCTCTCTCCCCCCACCTTAAACAATACTCACAAACAATTCGGTTATGGTAAAAAAAAGTGAGAAACTAAACAAGCACTATAGTTTCCGCAAGTAAAGACAACTTCATTTAAGGGAGTTTTGGGAATGAAATAAGTGGCGCTATTCTAGTGCAAAGTGAATGTTTTATTTTAATTCAAATAAGGGAGTTAACTCAATTTTCAACTTCCTGCGTTTAATTTGTCTCCCCATCTAATTGGCTATTTATCGATTTTCTTGCGTCGTACACGGCAAAGAAATGCAGATATTGAAATCGGGGTTCGGGTTGCGGGGGGGGGGAGGGGCGTAACAAATCTCGTAC